TTTAATGCTAATCTATAAGAATAAATGAGATGTCCAAAACTGCAACAATTATAGAGGAATCAAGTTCATGTGTTATATAATGAAAGTGTGGGAGAGAGTGATGGAATGTCAATTGGGAGATATAATAGAGGTGTTAGAGAATCAATTTGGGTTTATGCTTGGTAGGTTAACAATGGAAACGATCTATCTTTTAAGAAAAGTAATAGAAAAGTATAGAGAAAAAAAAGAGACATTCATATGGTTTTTATCGTTCTTGAAAAAACATATGATAGAGTACCTCGGAATATAATCTGGTGAGTGTTAGAGAAGAAGGGGTGACGAAAGGTTACATTAATGCGATTAGGGATATGTATGAATGTGTGGTGACTACTATTAGATCGCTTGTTGGAGAGACAAATGAATTTCCAATTATTATAGGGTTACACCAAGGATCAGCCTTAAGTCTTTATCTTTTTGTTTTAGTTATGGATGAGTTGACGAGAAATATTCAGGATGATGTGCCATGGTGTATGCTTTTTGCAAATGATATCATGTTAATGGATGAGACTAGAGAAGGAGTTAATACTAAGTTGGAGACTTGGAGATAAGCACTTGAATCTAAAAGATTTAGGATAAGCAGGCTAAGACATAGGACATGGAATATAATTTTAGTAACAGTAACAATGGAAATAGAGAAGAACTGAAGATTGAAAGCCAATAACTACTTAAGAGTGAACATTCTCGTTATTTAGGATCGATTATCACAATGGTTGGGGAGATTGGAGTGGATGTGATCTATAGAATTAAGGTGGCGTGGCTTAAATGGTAGAGTGCGTTTGCGGTACTATGCGATAAATGAGTACCCATTAGATTAAAAGGGAAGTTCTATAGAATGGTTATTAAATCAACGATGTTGTATGGGTTGAAATTTTAGGCAACTAAGGAACATGTAGATAAGATGAGTGTTGCTGAGACGAGGATGTTAAGGTAGATGTGTGGCAAGACTAGAAAAGATAGAGTTAGGAACTTAGTAGCAGGAATCGTGGAAGGGACTCACGCTTCTAAGGAAGAAGCGCGATTTTGCGCTTCCAAGGAAGAATCGCACAAGAATCGCGCTTCTAATGCGAAAGAATCGCGATTAGGGCTGAGACCTCTCACGGTCGATCTCGACTGGCTTTGTCGCTCTCTCTTCTCTCAGTCTCGATCTCCTCTTCGTCTCTCTTCGCCTCTGTTTGCTTCGTCTCTCTCTTCGTCTCCCTCTCTCGTCTCTGTTCTCCCTCTCTATCTGTCTCGATCTCTATTCTCCCTCTCTCTCTGTCTCGATCTCTATTCTCCCTCCCTCTCCCTCTCCGTTTTATATTATATAATATAAATATAATTTATCATATATATAATATAATATAATATAATATAATTTATTATATTTAATATATATAATATTTATCATATATAATATAATTTGTCATAGATAATATAATTCTTCTGTCTAAAATAAAAAATTATTTATTAAAATTTATTATTCCTAACTTTTTAACATATAATAAATAAAATAAATCATCTAATTATTTAAAAGAAATCTATTTAAATCATATATAATAAAAAAAAAGTTAAAAAATTTATAAAATAAAAGATCTAATTTTTATTTTTTATTTATTTGAACATAATTTATTATTCATTATTTATTATAATAAATAAAATATAATTAATAAAAATAATATATAAGCGCTCCTAATTTACGACTCCTCTAAATGGCCACGTTCCCCCGCTCCCGCTCCCTCTCCCGCCCCCGCTCCCGCTCCCGCTTCGTGCAACTAAGGTTAGGAATGAGTATATTTGACAATGGGTAAGAGTAACACCAATAGAAGATAAGTTGAGAGAGAATAGATTGAGATAGTTTGGTCATATACAATGGAGACCAACAGAGACAATAGTGAAGAGATGCGATACAGTGACGATAGATGGAAGTGTTAGGGGAAGGGGCTGACCTAGATTGACGTGGACTAGTGTAATAAATAGAGATATGAACCTTCTTAATTTAACTAACGAAATGGCCTTGGATAGAGTCGAATGGAAAAGAAAGATTCATGTATTTAATGGGACTTAAGGCTTGGTTTGTTTAGTTTGGTTTGGTTATCCCATTCTCTTCAGGAGTATAAGAAGCAGTTGTCTCATGAATTATTCCATTTTGTTCACATACAAGTTTAAGTTTGGTTGCGTCATATTCTTTTTCCCGATCAGATCTAACTCTTTTAATTTTCCAGTCTGACTGATTTGCTACTTCAGTCCTATATTTTATAAAATACTCCGTTGCTTTATCTTTGTTTCCTAAGAGATACACTCTAGTGAATCTTGAACAATCATCTACAAAGGTTATGTAATATCTTTTTCCTCCTCTTCTCATATAATTTTTAAAATCTCCCAAGTCACTGTGTATTAATTCTAGGACTTCTGAACTTCTTTCTACAGTCTTGAAAGGTTTCTTGGTAAACTTAGCCTCTACATTTCACACTTGGATGTATTAGAATTTTTAAAATCTGGAATTAAACTAAGTTGTCTCATCCTTTTAACAGAAGCATAATTTACATGCCCTAATCTAGTATGCCACAAATCAACAGGCTCAACAATATAAGCAGAAGGCTCAACAATATAAGCAGAAGAAGTACTAGCTTTATTAGCAAAGTCAGAGATAACATTCAGTGCAAAGAGACCCCCATTACAGTAACCCTTTCCCACAAAGTCCCCATTATGACTAAGCACTAGTTTATCAGAATCAAAAACTAATTTAATACTACCAGCCTTGTTAAGAAGAGATCCAGAAATCAAGTTTCTAGGCATTTCGGGCACATGAAGGGTATCATTTAAGGCTAGGGTTTTACTGGAAGTGAGCTTTAGCATAATTTTCCCCTTACCAACCACACGAGCAGTGTGAGCATCTCCCATGTACACGTGCTCACCATCACCAACAACTTCATAGGTAGCGAACAAATCTTTGTTGCCACAAATGTGACGAGTAAGTAGCCCCAGTGTCTACCACCCACTCAACCGCATTGCTAACCAAATTTGCTTCTGAAACAACAGCTGCTATGATATCAGATTCAGTGAGGTTAGCCTGTGGTTTATGTTGGTGATGGTCTTTGGCTTTGCGAAGTTTGCACTCAAAAGCATGATGTCCTATTTTGCCGCACACAAAGGATGTCCCCCTTTTTTTCTTATAAATGCCCTCTGATTTTTTGAAGTTGATGTTGCTGTTGTTGTTGTTGTGGTTCTTTTTCCCTGGTTTTTTGTTGTTGTCCTTTCCAAACTGATTTCACAGTAGATTTCACCTCCACCATATTAGCCTTCGAAGTGAACTCATGAGCCAAGTCATTTTTGTCTTTCAATCTGTTGGATTCTTCAATGCGAATATGGACAATGACATCTTCGGGACTGAGATCCCTGTTGTGCTTGAGGGAATTTCTATACTCCTTCCAAGATGGCGTAGCTTCTCGATCAATGCTGCAACTTGAAAAGCATCATCCAAATTCATTCCCTCAGCCAGAATGTCATGAATTATATTCTGGTATTTGTGAACTTGTTCCATGACAGATTTCTCATCAATCATCTTGAAATCCGAGAATCTACTCAACATACTTTTTATACCTGCATCTTCTGTTGAATATTTTCTTTTCAAAAGTTCCCAAATCTCTATAGCAGATTTATAAACACAACATATGTCAAACAGAGAATTGGACAGAAAATTTAGAATATGACCACGACAAGTCTTGTTATCTTTTTCATAAAGACAAATAGACTCAGTATCAGCCAGTTCCAAAACATCATTAGGAATATGATCATTAAACAGAACATAATCAACACTGATGGACTCTAGGAAAAACAGAATTTTTTCAGACCAGCATTTGTAATGGTTGCCATCAAAAGGTTCAAGTTTGATCATATCAGGAACGGTATTCATTTTGTTAATCAAGAAAATCATTTCTTAAGATTGTTGGATAAAAGAGTTAAAAACAGTGATTGATTAACAAGAATGAGTAAAAACTAGTGAAAAGAAAAATTATTGAAAAAAAAAGAGTATGAAACGTCAAGGCACGGAACTTAATTTGTTGTCCTTAAGAAACAATTTCACCTCCACTCGGTGCAGATGGACTTTTGGCTGTCGTTCTCTAGGATTCAATGACGGGTCTTGTTGGTGTGCACTCACCAATCAAGGCTACGAACTCGTGTATAGAATAGCCTAATGAAACAGATGAACAGTGACAGAAATTAGAGAAGAGGACAGAATATTTTTTTGTCTATCTTCGGCAAAATGTTTATGCTCATATATATATAGCTTGTCAAAGCTAGGAGGAAAAGTAAACAAAATTATATATATGGATTTCACAAAACAAATCCCTTAAATTATGTTAAGGGCTAATCAACTCCAAAATCAAGATTAAACTAAAAAGGAAAGGGAATAAATGACTTAAAGTTATAAAGAAAAGATTTAAAAGAATGTTATTTTGAATTCACACAACAATGCACGAGTATATATGTGTATATATATATATATAAATTTGAAGCATCTCCAACATATATATTATCTATTTCCTCTTCAATTTTTTTAGAGTGGTTTAATGGTTTGCATTGCTGCATTTTTTGATGATGCTGCAACTTCTATTTCCAAAAGTATGGGGTTCATTCCCCCACTGGGGTGTGGGTGGTCACAGAGCCCTATATATATTATAGGCAGCCCACTGAATCTTGTTAGTTATTATGTAGAGCTCGGGTTCATACTTGAGTTGTGTAGGGTTCATTTGAGCTTTCTACACTTAATTTAATTCAGGTTTCCTGGCATTTGAGATGTTAGATTGTTTTGTATAGCTACTTTTAAATGCTTGTCTTGAGTTATTTTTTGTGTAATTGTGATATTGTTGGACCTTTGCGGGATCTTCAGAGCTCTGTACCATTTTTTTCTCTCTTTCTCTCAAATATTTTGTGTTATTTGCCATTATGTATTTTTCGTATCTTTGTTGTCTGTGCTATAGATCAAGCCAGCATTTGTGATTCCCGATCAAGTGAATTGTGCAGTTATCAGATACCATAGTAGACGAGTTACATGTTTGGAGTTCCATCCAACTCGTAATAACATTCTTTTATCCGGAGATAAGGTTAGTGTCAGCCATATTGTGCACTAACAGTCAGTTGAGTTTGTTCTGACTAAGGCGAGGTTGTTTATTGATAGATCAACTTTTATTTTTTTTTCTCTCAATTTTTTTTTCTTGATCTATTGTAAAAGAAAGGACAACTTGGAGTTTGGGACTACTGCAAAGTACATGAAAAGATAGTTTATGGGAACATACATGGTTGCATACTTAACAACATGAAGTGAGTGATCCCTTTTTCTGCTTTGTTTTTGGATTTTATGTTCTGGTATGATATGTATCTGTGAATGGAAATGCATTGCACGTTCAGCTCTTCAACAAGAAGGCCTTTTCCTCTTTGGTGGGTGAATTTGATTGTTATCCAATTACCTGCAGGTTCAAGCCCACAAATGATGGAACAGTATATGCTGCATCCTCAGATGGGACCATCAGTTGCACTGATTTGGAGACTGGAATTTCATCATCATTGATGAACCTTAATCCTAATGGGTGGCAGGTATCTCGTTCAAAGTTAAACATTCCTTTGTGATCCAATCTTCTAACCTGTAATTATTTTCTCACTGAAGTTGTGAGATGTAATGATCAAGTTTTCAATGTGAATCCTTTAATCTGGCTTTTCAAGCTTCTTTGCATTGTTGAGGATTTTTTATTGCTACTGTGGAACATCCTGAAACTGTAAGTTTGTGGTATGACCATTTAACTTGGATTACCTCCAAATTCAATTAAGTTGTTTGCCTGTCTGATTGCTTTTCTATGACTCTTGTAGTTTGACCTTAATTTCTTTCAACTTCTGAGGAATTTGTAACCAGTGATATGGATCATTACAGAACTTGGGAACCTTCTTTAGTTTTTGGTTTTTCTGTTCCTTTGTTACATTTCCTTGTAGTATTGTCCTAATTAAAGTAATTTGTTTCTTCATTTGATTTACAATGGTATGCTTGGAAGTAAGAATTGGATGGGGTCAATGAGATTCCACAGAAACATCATACAACTACACATTGTTTAGTTGTGCATACACATGGCTCGTTCACCTCTCAAGTCTCTTAATTATATTCATCAATCATTTGAATTTGAATTTAAATATGTAAGTGTTTTGAATTTTTGTAAGTTTAAAATGTATTTTGGCTACAATTCAGCATATTGTTTACATGTAATGGGTCATTCCAGAGTATTGATATCCGAGTATGAGTTATAAATTGTTTTCCTGTAGGGCCCAAGCAGTTGGAGAATGCTTTATGGGTTGGACGTCAACTCAGAGAAAGGTGTTGTGCTTGTTGCAGATAACTTTGGATATTTGTACTTGTACGTATCTGATCTGCTTGATGATTATGTCAATATTGAAGAGATATAGAAGCAAAAGAGAAAACAATTAGTACATGGATATTGTAATTTTTTTTTATCAAATCTCATAATTGCTGTTGGCCCTTCATTCAATCGAGTGCTGCTATTTTTTTCTTAGGAAGTTCTCATTTATTCTCCCTTTTTAATGATACAATAGCTATTGGGAATAATCAATGATTATAAAGCAATTGATATACATTTGCTGTTAACCGTCAAATGGGAGTATCTGCCATCTGAATGATGCAATTAATGGGCCACCTTTGGAATGAATTGTTTTTATGGGGGGTTTTGATTTCTTTTTTATGCATCATTTCTGTGGCCCAAAATTTCCTAGATTATTATTGATGGACGATTGAGATCATATTGTCCTTGTTTTTGGACTGCTCTTAGAATGGTTGATGATTGAACAGTTAGACCTTGTAAATTGGTAGAGATCTAAGGGGACTTAACTAATAGCATGTTATATTATTCTGAAGTTCATATTGAGTTAATTTGGAAACAGTACGAGTTAAAACCTTTTTTGAGATCTGTGGCTGTATGCTGTAACTATATGTATGTGTGTCCCCACTGGTTTTGAAGGTCCAGAGAAAATTGGAATTGAAAAAAGAAAAACGAATAATTGGAAGTGAAATTTAAAAATGAAAAACCAAGGTCTAGTGCATCTCACAAATGGACCGATTTGCTTCTTACCTCATTGACTTGGGGAAAGAAGCTGATGGTTTTGTTGCTCTTTTGCACATTGATTTTCTACTGTACAGACATCTATTATATATACGTATTACATATATACATCAATGTATACAGGCATGTGTATGTAGCTATTAGTTGAATGATAAAGTACCCATGACATAGCCTTAGTTTTTCTTCTTATTATTGACATATGTAGGATGGATATTCGCTCCAACAGCAAAGTAGGGGAGACTATTTTGATCCATAAGAAAGGAAGTAAAGTCGTGGGGCTACACTGCAATCCTGTTCAGCCAGATCTTCTTTTGAGCTGTGGAAATGATCATTTTGTGAGCTTCCTTGTTTAGTAATTGCAACTTTTTTCATTTTGTTCTTATGATTCTTTACAATTGAATAGTAATGGGTTTAAAGAAAAGTAGAATATTGTATGAAAATATTCTCAATCTCCTTAGTAGCTTGTGAACCCATATAAAGTTATTATTATGTTTGTTGTTATGATGGTCTTTGAACTGAAATGGTTTTTTCATCTCAGGCCCGCATATGGGACATGCGTCGGTTAGAATCTGGATCTTCTCTTTGCAGTCTTGCACACAGACGTGTTGTTAACTCCGCATATTTTTCTCCACGAAGTGGCAGCAAAATACTTACTACATCACAGGACAACCGCCTTCGAGTATGGGATTCTATCTTCGGCAATTTGGGTTCCCCAAGTCGGGAAATTGTACATAGTCATGATTTCAATCGACACTTGACTCCTTTTCGAGCTGAATGGGATCCAAAGGTGATGATATGCCTATTTGTAGCGCGAAATGCATTTACTTGTATTCAATGCTTAAAAGAGGGCAAATACAAATATTAGTTGCTGCTTTTTTATGTAGGACCCGTCGGAGTCCCTTGTGGTTATTGGACGTTACATAAGCGAAAATTATAATGGAGCTGCTTTGCATCCCATTGATTTTATAGACATTAGCACTGGGAAGCTAGTTGCTGAGGTCATGGATCCGAACATTACAACTATCAGTCCTGTGAACAAGCTACATCCACGAGATGATGTTTTGGCAACTGGTAGTTCAAGGTTTGAACCATATGCAATCATTGATTCATTCTTCTGTGGTGATTATATATTTGTTGCTTCTATATGTACATCAGATCTTATGCAATCTCAACACGGTCTAAATGTAAAAAAAAAATTTCTTCTTTGAATACCCTGCTGTTTCTTGCTTGTTCCTGCATTATGGATTTTAATTGTATTCCTTCACCATGTCATATGAGCATGACCTTTGACAACTTTTGATTTGGTTCAATATTTCATAAATAATGGGTATGCATATACTCCCACACACACTCATACATGAAACCAAGTAGCGGGGATGCTAAAGTTTGTTGGGTATGGTGGAGTGGAGATGAAGCTTTATAAACCAAACCAAACCAAACCAAGCCTTAAGTCCCATCAAATGGGGTCAGCTACATGAATCTTTCTTCTCCACGCGGTCCTATCAAAGGCCATTTCATTAGTCAAATTAAGTAGATTCATATCTCTATTTATAACGCTAGTCAACGTTAATCTAGGCCTACCCCGTCCCCTAACACTTCCATCTACCGTTACAGCATCGCATCTCTTCACTACTACCTCTGTTGACCTCCGTTGAATATGACCAAACCATCTCAAACGATTCTCTCTCAACTTATCTTCTATCGGTGCTACTCCTACCCATTCCCGAATACGCTCATTCCTAATCCTGTCTTGTCTAGCCTTACCACACATCCACCTTAGCATCCTCATCTCAGCCACACTCATCTTATCTACATATTGTTCCTTGGTTGCCCAACACTCCGTCCCATACAACATAGCTGGTCTAATAGCCGTTCTATAGAACTTACCTTTTAGTCTAATGGGTATTCGTTTATCACACAATACCCCAGACGCACTTCTCCACTTACACCATCCCGCCTTAATCCTATGGGCCACATCTGCATCAATCTCTCCCGCTGTTGTGATAATCGACCCTAAATAACGAAAATGTTCACTCTTAGGCAGTTCTTGGTTCTCAATCTTCGCTTCTCCTCTGCTTTCATTGTTACCGTTACTAAATTTACACTCCATGTACTCTGTTTTAGTTCTGCTTATCCGAAATCCTTTAGATTCAAGAGCTTTTCTCCAAATCTCCAACTTTGTGTTAACTCCTTCTCTAGTCTCATTCACTAACACAATATCGTCTGCAAAAAGCATACACCATGGCATGTCATCTTGAATATTTATCATCTACTCGTCCATAACTAAAGCAAAAAGATAAGGACTTAAGGTAGATCCTTAGTATAACCCTACAGTGAGATGAAGCTTTATCAGTGAATTTATTCTTCTTTGATGAACTGGGAAAGTTTTTTTCATTCCTTTTTCTTTTTTTTCAATTTTTTTTTTCTTCAGTGGGAGAAATTTACATACAATTGTTATGTTGTCTTATTGCATTGTCTAGATGCTCTACCCATGGTTGTAAATGTAATCTCTACAGTTGCTAGGACGAGGCAGCAATAACCCTATGTGGTGTAATTTATACAGAGCTGCATCTGTAGACTTGTAGTATGGATTATTTAGTGAAAACAGTTAAGAATTTTGCTGCATAGTGGTAATTTGTCATTCTTCATCTCAACTTTTTTCTAACTCATCTACCACTTTTTCATACATATAGTTATCAGCTAATGGTTAAGACTTGGCCTAATAACCTTGAGGTTATGGGTTCAAGTCTTGGGACCACCACTTTACGTATTATGCTAAAGGTTAGGTGTGTACTGAATCTTTCCCCTCCCAAACACATTAATGTGTACTTATTGGGCGTTTTTTTTTTTTTTTAGTTATCAGCTAATGTTGATGGTTTGTCTTTGTCTTAGGAGTATTTGTAACATGTGGAACATAACTATTATGAACAAATCCTTTCCGTTGGTTGTTTTTCTTATGATACCTTTGAAATTGCGGTTTTACCTTAAGTGGTGTGATCCAAATTTACAAATTATTATTGTGTTTTATTTTTTAAATATGAATTTCCATTTCAGTACAAAGACATACAATTGTGAAGAGGACAGAAAGACGATAGAAAGTAGAAATAACGACATTGTTGTTAACCTTTATTATTTGGACAAGTGACTAAAATACTCTAATTTAGAAGAACTAAATTTATTGTAAATTTAATGATTTAAGACCATTTCGCTAATTGTTACTTCTCATTGTTGATGTGCCATTTTGTATTTTTTAATCTAAAACATTACCTTTTCAGGTCTATTTTCATTTGGAACCCGAAGGAGAAGTCTGAGATTGTGCAACAGAAGGATGAAAAGAAGATTGTTCTTTGCGGAAAGGCTGAGAAGAAACTCAATAAGAAGTTTGACGGTGAAAGTGATGATTCCGATGATGACATACGCAAAATCAAGGGTAAGATCACCCAATCAAGAAAAGCTGAACCAAAATCATCTCGATGTAGTCTTAAGGGCAAGCGATAAGCTTATGAATGCAATTACCCCGCAATATTTTTTGAGCTGGTAATTGATGGTTCCTATATGCCAACCTTTGTATATGCTAACTTATGTTTTGGTGATGTAGTATTTAACATGATATGTAGTTTTGTAACTTTTCACATCGTTTTGGTTCTTCGCCATTGTATACTAGGCTTACCTAGTGCTCAAGATAAGCTCTATGTTTTGTGTAATAGTTTTTTTTGTAGCCTACCCGGTTGTATTGAAATTCTATTCAATGTGTTTGGTTCCGGTTTTCTAAATTTTTTATTTGAAAATTTTTGAGTTTTTGTTTGGTTAAGTCCAAAAATCAAAAAAAGCTTTAAATATATATATATATTTTTTGGATGCACACTTATAAATAGAGATGTGATTTGATGTGACTTGTTCTTTTTTATTTTTTTATTTTTTATTTTTTTGATGTGACTTACTCTCTTTTGTTTTGCATTGTTATTTATTTATTTATTTTATGTTGCTGAATGGTTCTAACAAGTTGATCGAAAGTCTAATGTGACAGGATTTTGAATTTTACGTTAACACAATATTCAACGTGGAGGGATTTTAAATTCAAAAACAAAACAAAATTTAAAAATACTTCTGTATTTGATGTTATAAAAAGTTGTAAGTTAGTTACCTAATTTTTTTTTATGCCAATTTGTGATTAAATTACTAATTTTGTAATTGATATCATAAAATTTTATGATAAAGTTATCAATTTAATAATAAGGTATGCACCGATAAAAGGGAAAATACCAAATTATTTTTTGATATGTACATATATATACATAAAACAAATATGGTAGTATTTTTGATGTAACGATAATTTTTTTTTTCAGTTTATTGTTGAATACATCATTTAGATTGCCTTCTCTCTTTCTGTGTGTGCGGAGGGAAATTTGAATTTCTTTGCAATAGTCAAATCTTTGAAACCAAACACATCCATTTTCAGAACATAGTTTTCAAATCACTTTTTTGAAAAATAACTCAAAAAATTAAAACCAAACATAGTGATTATTAGTTAAGAATGTGATCTTTTGAATTTGTTTTTATTTTATTACTTATGTATTTATTTTTATTTTTTTGTACATGCTAAGCAAGTAATTATTCGCTAGTCCCTGAGCATTAATTCAACATGTTGACAGGGTAGTTTCAGACAATGGTAGTTATGGAATGGATACAGCTGAGTTGATCCACCTGGTTGGCTGGGTAAAGGAGACATGGGTGCAACATATGTACATATATGATTATTGATTTTTATTACAAATACAGTATGAAGTAATGATATTTTTCAGTGCCTAGCATATGTACATATATATATGCCCTTTGCCACCACTTTAAAGCCAAATCATAAACCAAAACCTAGGTACAAAACATTACAAGGAGATATGCAACCCATGTTCTTATGTCTAGCTAGCTTTTGATTCACCACAAGGCCTTTCGAAAGCCAATTAATTAAGCAGCCAAGACGCCAGAGGTTGGATTGATTTCCAAGTTGTTGACAGCTTTTTGATCTATAATGAAAATACAAGGGCAAGGTTAATTATCAATTAGCTTGGAACTTTTAAAATTGTGCAGCTTGAAACTTTGGGTAGGTAGGCACTTACCAAGTACAATTTTATGAACAAAAAAACATGCGGCAATAACAGTGTAGCAAAGGCACAGAACAACTCCTTTCATGTAGTGAGAATTTCCATCCTGCAGATCATAACCAGAAAATACAAATTTTAATTGGTCATGAAGTTTGTACCCAAAAAAAGTATTTTGAACATGAAATGCATGTTGCATTCTATGTGTTGGGATCGGGGATCCCGCCCAAGACCTTCCAGAAATTATACCAAGTAGAAAAACACACCCACACAGAAGGAGACACCATATTTAACGTGGTTCGGCCTTAAAGCCTACGTCCACGGGAGAGTAACCGGTTATCACTATAACAATGGAGAGATTACAGAAAGATTATAATAGGGGAGGAGCTCACACTCTCCTCACTCACCCACTCACCCGTCTCCCTCTCTCACACCGAGAGAGACGGTCTCTCCACCTCACATCTCTCACTCTCTTCTCTCTTGGTTCTCTCTCAGTTGTCTACTCTCCTCTCAACCTCTATTTATACATATCATGAGGGAAGGAAGCTGGACAGCAATGGTGAGTGGATTGGTTAGTGGGGAGGTGCCACTCCCACTCTCTCTAAAGTGGTCTCCAACCACCCCACTCTCTCTAAGGTGGGTTAGCCACTCACATGGGATGATAATAACATAGCCAACACTATGTAGTTCAAACAAGTCTTTGTACCACATCATAACATGATTACTTGGCCATTTGGGTTTTATTGGGGTAGTGTGGATCATGATGATAGACTTAAATTTGGAGTAAGGGTTATCTTTGGTAGTTTTACAGTTGTGACATGTTGTCTTAAATTTTATGTATTTATAATTGAAAGGAGGCGGTAATCTCCGTAATCTCATGTAACTTTTCTGATCATAATGAAAGTGCAGAACAACTGTAGATACAACAATAGTTTTGAGGTGAATCACGTAAATTTTATATTCTGTGTGAGTGAATTTATCATTATTGTACGTTTGTCATTCTTTTTGTTTTGTGTATCACCGATCCTAGTTAGATGTTATGAATTCCTAACAGGTTTGGCATGGAGTTTTATGTTGGCAGGGAGTTTTATATTTAAATCTCTCTTTTCTTTTTGTCTGAAGTCCCTCTCAACTACACAATCAAGTTAGATAAATCCATCATGTATGGTAGAGAAGTAGTTCGGAACGACTGACTAGGGAAGACTCCTATAAAGAATCTAGCATTTCTTACATATGTCCTCATGATAAAATATTCATGGTGATTGACTGACTAGGGAAGACTCCTATAAAGAATCTAGCATTTCTTACATATGTCCTCATGATAAAATATTCATGGTGATTGAGAAGTGACTTAAAACAGAAAACCGAAAAAGATCTCGATAGAGAATCTGACATCTTCAATGTCTGTCCTCATGGCAAAAAGATACATCATGTGTGATAGAGAAGTAATTAAAGATAGGAGACATGAGAAGATCCTGACAAGAGGTTATTATGGCCTCTCCCAATGTATCTCTTTCGTGGTTGTGTGTAGCATTATTTGATGCAACAAGGAATGCAATAATGCTAAAAAAAAATATCATTATAGAGAAGAATAGACATGTATATTTACCTGGAGAGCGAATGATGTGACTATAATTGAGAAAGCCAAAGCACCAGTTTCTAGGAGATTGAAGTCAAGATCCATATGGACACCCATTATCCAAGCTACAACCACACATAAAGGAACCTGAAATGAACCAAGTTTAGAATTTGTGTTTTGGACTTTTTATTTTTATATTTTTTATCGAAGAGATATATTATTTCTGTTGGGTTTTAATTAATTAATTTGTTTCAAATCTCACCACAAACATGAAAATTTGAGCTGCAGAACCCAAAGCAACTGCCAAAGATATATCCTGCATATGATACAGAAAAATTTACAGAATGAAAAAACTTTGAAGGTAACATTTATATAATAAAAATACATAATTGTGAAATATACATACCAACTTGTTCTTCAAAGCAAAGATGATTGATCCAGCATGTTCTGTTGCATTCCCCACAATTGGTAGCAATATTACACTGACGAAGCCAACAGAAATGCCCCATGAATCTGAAGCAGCCTATTTCACAAGAAAACAATATTAGGGTGTATGATTCCACTTTTTGATTTTTAGCTTATTTGTTTTTTCAACTTTAAAGATTTAAAATAAGCAGAAAATGCTATGTTTGCAGTTGGGTTTTAAATGCATTTTTTTAAAATTTAAAAATGAAGCTAATGATCAGCTTTTTTTTAATTAGAAACAAATAGATAGGCTATAAATCCATTAAAAATAATGGTAAATATTAGATAGATAAACAAACAAATCTTACTAAATTTTTACTCACTGATGCAATATGCAGTAATTAAATTTTGAAATTTGAAACAAGACCTGCTACAATAATATGATAAGTGTCACGTCAATTAATAAATAAAAAAAATTCTAAAATTATTTGTTTATATATAAAGATGAAATGAGTTTGCATACCTCAATTGTACTGACAATATACTCAGATAACCAAGCAATGATAACTGTCATCCCAAATAGCCATATAAATGCACTCCAAAACCCTATCACAGCCTTCTCTTCTTCAGAAGCCCCATCATCCACCTCCTGTCCATTACCACACCACAATATGAGTTAGCATTTTGAGATGGGATTGATTACCATTTAGCAGCAAATGAATTGGACTGTTCGCGAGCTCAGTTAAAAGTGCAAGGATCAAATTATTTAAATTGAAACTATGAGGACCAAAGTGAAAGTTCGCTTAAACTAGAAAGACCAATGGTGTAATTTACCGTCAAATTTATACCATACATACACTTTCTGAGTAAAATTCAGAGTAAATTTTGATGGTCTCCATGAGAATAAGAATCACCTCTTGGGAATCAAACAATTGCCTGTGGGTTTTCAATTGAAAGAAGAGATAGGAAACATATGCCAAAAGCATAATAATGCTGCCTGCTCTTGACAATTGAAGAATTGAACTTGCAGCCATGAGAGTGTTATGCTCAATAGCACCATATCTGCACATCAATGGCAGCAGAAGACAAAGCAATCCAAGCAATAGTAGTAGCATGTTCACATTACTTTGCTTCTGTCAAACAAAAACAAAAACAGCCATGAAATGATCAGAGATCACAAACCCTATAGTAGTGAAGAGCCTGAAGTTTAGTAATTTTAGGTATCCAGAAAATGTGTTTTACCCAGAAAAATTGTTGTACGATCCTTAGTGAACTTTTCTTTAAAAAAAATAATAATAAATGAAAAAATTCTTCACTTTTAAATCCTACTAGATTTGAAGAAGACCCCGAAATTTTAAAAATAAAAATATATATATATATATATATATTGAAAAAGATCCATTAAAGAAGAAGAAGAAGAAGAAGAAGAAGAAGAAGAAAAAAAGCTAAAAAAATGCTCTTTTAAAAAAAAATCTTTAGTGAATTTTGTTTTTGTTTTTGTTTTTTGTTTTTTAAACTTTTTAGATCCTTCTAATATAGGAATTTTTTTATATAAAAAATCACTAAAAAAAATCAGAAAAATGTGAATTTTTGAACTGTTACAAAATAGAATTTAAGTGTAGATCCCACCGTATAAGAGTTGAATCTAAATTATACTATTTTCTCATAATAAATTTTTAGTATATATGAATCGGAATTACAAACTATTTTTTCTGGGTAACGTTTTGGGTTTTTTTTTGTCCCTTGAACACATAGACTTACTTGAAATTACAAGAATTGAGATAGGGTTTGAACTAATTTGTGTATTTAGTATATTTACATTGTCAAATGTTTGTTCCTTTTGGAGGTTGGCCAGTCCTCCACAGAACAGAGAGGTCCCAAGAACAAGAAGAAGATTTGAGAGAATGGAACCAAAAAGGGAATATTTCACCACATGTATTTTCCTTTTGTGAAGAGCAAATATAGATATTATCAGCTCTGTAACATTGCCACATGTTGCATTAAGAAGCCCTCCAACTGTCAAAACATATTAATATAATGAATATATCATTCTTAAATAATTATAAGATTGAATGCATAACAAAGTTCCAAATAAAAGTATTGGGATATGAAATTGTTATAGTATCAAGAATTTTAAACAATATGAATCGAGAATTGGGTAAAACAGTTGAAAATTTTATAAAAAAATCATCAATCACCAACAAGAAAAGAAAAGAAAAAAACTTTATAGCTCTAAACTAAATGTATGAGCTGTGAATCAAGTTGTGAAATAGGCAAGTACCGATATACGCATTGGATAATGTAATGCATCAGTTGATATTTAAAATTTTTATATAAATATATTAAATTAATATTATTACTCTAATTGTTTTTTTTTTTTTAAGGGTGAGACAGTGATAGAGAAATACCTGTTGGACCAGTGTAATATGCAATTTGTCTTGAGTTTTTGTTGACAAAAAACCAAAAAACAAAAAGAAAGAACTTGTTAGAAACTTTATTAATTGATATAGGATAATCATCTAAAATTTCAGAGAAATACTAGAAATTCACACTTTTATTTATTGAGTGTGTAACAAATCAAAACTTAACATATATCATTTAAAGCCAGCACATTTACTCTGGCTTTAAATGAGACCCCTGCAAGTGGACGGTGGGATTAATCCCTCAGTCGAGATGCAAGTAAGTTGATTAGAACACTTGCTTATCAAAAATAAATTGTGAGATTTTAATTTTTTCGGGAAGTCTCAAAACATTTTCCAAAATTATATTTACTACCAATTAATCAAATATTAACTCTAATAAAATACTGGCAACCAAATAGACAAAATAAGAATCTTACTCTGTCAAAAAACTGATACGTTCAGCAAGTGGGATGAGTCCCAACAAACTCAAACCAAAAATCCAAACCTAATTAGTTGGGGGGAAAAAAAAAAAGATAAAAATAAAAATCATTAGGAGAAAAAAATTATTGTATTTTTTCTTAAAAAATCAAAACTAATGAAACAGTCAAAAAGAAGAAGAACAGTGAAATTTCACAAAACCTAATTGGCATACACTTACTCTTCCAAAACTGTAAAACTCAGCTAGGATTGCCAAAGGAATGGCAGGGAAAAACAAACAAAGCTTGGTTCCAAGTATCACTTCTTGAAGATTTCCCAGAAATTCTCTCAGCATTCTGCACCGAACCTTGGATAAAAGTGTCGGATCCGACTTTTTTCGTATCAACGACGATGATAGATTCTGAGTCGTCCGGCCAATCAAGTTCTCCGTGTTCCGGTGATCCAGTGAACCCATGATAGATATAGCTCTTTTCTTCAATGTCTCTTCAATCAATGGAGTTCGTATTAGGGTTTCAAAGAAAAGAACACACAAATTTCTCTCTCTCTCTGTTGATATTGGAAGTGAAAGAGTTCATGTTAGGACAATGAATGTGTCAAATGTACGTTGTTGAAGTTTCCTGGAATTTTCCTATATTTGTTTCCTTCTTGCATGAAGTTTTTTACACGTACGTATATCCATAAATGTACAGGTGGTTTCATGTAAAAATGTTAGCAACCACAAGATAAAGAAAAAATGTTACAGGTGACTTAAATGTCTTATATGATCGTAAGGTCTATAAAATTGCAGAACTCACACTCATATAAAATATTTGGTCATTTATCCAGTAAAAAATTTGATATCCTTAACATTACTCCAAAATAAATATGCATAAATAACCACAAAATATATTTGTAAATATATATACATATATCAATTAATAATACAAAAAAAATTAATGCGTGATCCATACTCATAATGAATCTAGTCACATATTAATTTTTGTGTGCTCATTTTTGTAATTTTTTTCCTTTTGTACATGTAGTATTACTATTGATCTGTACTCTTATACAATTATTATATGTGAGCACTTGACATAACGTAGTGTCACAATAAATTATTTTTCCAAAATACTCTTGTGTGAGATAGCTATTTTGTTTGTTTCTTTCCCACAAAGGGGGTAAGTATGTAATAACATACCAATACCCCTTAAATAAAAAAATAATAATAAAAAATAAATCTCTTTACGGTTTCAATAGTCAAATCTCTTCTTGATTTTAAAAAATAATAACATATACTCAAAATGTTTGTGTATATATATATATATTAGATTAATTAGGTCAACACACTCTCAATATTTATTGAATATTATTTTATACTCTATTTTATTTTATTTTAGTTGCAACTTGAAACTAATGGTAACATTGATCGTCGAGGGATAGTGGTAAAGTGGTTGTATTAAAAAAAAGATAGTGGTAAAGTGGAAAAGGTATTGTCAGTGGTGGGCTTGTATTGATAGCAGTGAATGTGGTGATGGTGGTAATATGGTGGTATTGATACAACTTAAGTTTTTTTTAAAAAAAATTCTAATAATTTTTTTATTCTTTTAACATCTGTCAAACGCTTTTTATTTTTTAAGTGCTTTTAGTCTAAACGCACCTAATAAATTAAAAAAAAATTAAAAATAAAAAAATTAGCAACTTTTTGTGTTTATTGAATTTTTTATTTTTATTTAACTTTTTAAATTTTAGGAGGCTTAAACTAAAAGCTCCTAGGAGTTTAAAAAAAAATTAAAAAAAAAAAAGAAACAAGGGAAATGCTTCGGTATGCGATGCATACGTAACGTCTAAATTTTTAGGCCGTTAATAAATTAAATCAATCTTAAATTTATAACTCTAGATAACTAATAACTTTAAATATACAAATCATCTCCAAAAATAATTACGCAAATATTTTCAAAATATAATTTATATAAATCTCCAAAAATAATAATAGTGGTGGATCCGAAAATATCAAACTCAGTAATGTTTCAATCCCGATTGTCACTAAATTGCTCCACACCTGAATAATAAATTAATGGGCGAATTACACTAATGGTCCCTATAATTTAGAGCTTGTGTCACTTTGGTCCCTAATTTTTCAATTATAACACATTTGACTCTGAATTTTGAATCTTGTTGCAAATAATGACAATTGAAAATACAATTGCTTAATTTCACGGACAAAATCGTCAATTTGATAAAATATAAACTAATTTGACAAAAATAAATGTCAAGGAAATATTTTGAATTTTAAAAATTATTTATACCCACTAAAGATAAAATTATATAATATTGATAAATCTTTTAGACATTTATTTATTTATTTATTTATTTTACTAAATTAATTTTAATTATTTGTTTGGATGATGATCATGTAATAGATGGTTGTTTTTATTTTTATTAAATTAGTTTTTATTTTTTCAAAAGTCAAATATAGCGACAACTTTGATATCATTATTAAACCAATCCATTAAATCAAAAAATTCAAAACTAAAATAATTTCATATATTAAATATATCGATTACACATCAAAATCCTAACAATTACCCATTACATGATTATTATCCAAACACATAATAAAAACTAATTTGATGGAAAAAAAAATGTCTAAAGATTTATCAAATTTTGCATAATTTTATCTTTAGTGGGTAGAAATAATTTTTAAAAATTTAGAAATATTTTTTTGACATTTATTTTTGTCAAATTAATTTATATTTTACCAAATTAAGCAACGGTATCTTCAATTGTCCTTATTTGAAATAATATTCAAAATTCAGGGTCAAATGTGTCACAATTGAAAAGATAGGGACCAAAGTGACACGAGCTCCAAACTATAGGGACTGTTAGTGTAATTCGCCCTAAATTAATTCGGAAAGTATACAATATGACATGATGAATAACAATGCTTGGATAGAAAACAAATTAATAGGGATCCAATAAATGACGACATTGTACAAACGATTCGATTTGATTCAAATTAACAAGTGGTTTACCAAATTGCACAAATAAGTCAACTTATCATATGATAATTTATCCAGGACCAAATACCCGGTCCTACTCAGTACATGACTAATGACCGGCCTCACCCACCTTATCCAAGCACAACCGCTTATCCGAGCATATTAATGCAAGCTACTGACAGGGTCAACTCAATTCATGCACGAAATATTTTAAAGTCTTTAGTCAGATAAATTAACATTGTCAACACAGAATAATTTTACATAATTAATCAAATGACTAGTATAACAAACCGAGTACAAATTGAAAGTAATTAAAATAACACTCTTAGCAAAGAAATTTAAAGAAAGTATATTGTATACCACCCAATTACCTCAAAACAATTCCTCTATCACCAACATTTTAATCATTTACTATTTCTTCATAGATCTTCAAATAAATGGCGAATTAAAATTATAATATATAAGATATGTAAAATTTGACAAAATTTATAACTTATAACACCTCCTCTTTGTAAAATTATTAACTCTCATTGTAAATACTTCCAAATTAAACTCAAAATTTAGTAATAACCAATCAAAGAGAACAATTTGAGGAGAAGAAGAAAACTGAGTGGGTAAATGAGGACCCGCCCCTCACTTGCTCAATTTATAGGGAAAAGTCTTACAGCTAAAGAAAAGGAAATAAATAAATATATACGTAAAAGAGATTTATAATCCACAAAACTTCTAAGAGCTCTAATATTTTAATCTTGATTTTTTAATTTTTGAATTTAAAAAAAAAAATGGGACATTTATTAGTAAGTCTTATACATAAAATTTAAAATCCATCTAATTCCAAAACAAAACACTTGCACCAATTAGTCTTATATATTTTTAATTATTATCAAAAAATCTTTTTTTTTATTATATAACTTTAAAAACGCTGCTATATCCTACCACTACCAGACTTCCGTCAAACGATCATCGGAGACTCGCCGAAATATTCAACATCACCGGGAAGTTGCCAGAGTATTGCTGGATATGCGCCGAAGTATCGCCGGAGTGTTCTGAATGTCACTAGAAGTCACCGGAATGTTCAGAATGTTTGTTGAACGTTAAGAATATTATCGAAGACTCACTGGAATATCCAGAATATTGTCGAGAAAAAAAAGAGAATAAATGGAGAAATTATAGTGAAAAAACATAACAAAACGTGTTAAATATTGATAAACTAAAAGGGGGGAAAAAATATTACAACAACAAACAACAATGGGAAAGAATATATATTATTTTTTAATATTTGTAGGGTTTAAGCAAATAATTTTCAATATTGATTAAACTGAAAAGTAAATTTTGAAATTATAAAATGTTATAGTTTCAAAAGCATGATTCTATTAAACATTTATTCTTATTAATCAAACTGGAAAACATGTTATGAAATTATAAAATTTTATAGTTCTAAAAAATGTTATGAAACTATTAAATTTTACAGTTTTAAAGCATGATTCATTTTGGCACCAAAAAAATTGAAACTGTAAAATTTTACAGTTTTCACTGCATGAAACTAAAGCTCAAAAATAATTTGTTCAGAACTTGAAAATTTTCTCCATTAAAACAGGAAATAGAAGTGTGTAGTAGAGAAAGAAAGAAAAATTGAGAAATCGAATGAGAGAAACAGGTATAGAGAGAATATTATAATTCGGTAACTATTTTTTGTTTAGATCTAGTCAGGCCTTATGTAGATTTACTCAGATCTAAATAGATCTACTCATCTTCTTCGCCAGAAACTCGTCTCTTTCTCTGTTGGTGAAGGTAAAGTAAGGAGTCGATGGTCGGTGGTTGCCGGTAAATCTTAAGCAATGATGGTCGGTGGTTGCCGGTAAATCCCAAGCAATAATGGTCGTCGGTCACCGGTAACTATATATTAGAAAGAGAAAGAGAAGAAGTAAGGCATGGTTGCCGATCACCAGAAATCATGAAGAGAATAAGGTAGAAAAAAACAAATGCACATAGAAGAATGAAGATGAAAAACACTTAGTGGACTTTTGAGAGTATTTAAAAAGTTATGAGACTAAATAGACTTATCATCTCTTAAATAGGACTTCCAAGTAATTTGCAAAAAAAAAAAAAAAGACTCCCACCCACCCTTCAATTTGATTTTCTGAATTTTAAAAAAACCCGGAGCCCTAACTTTCCTAAACTATATATATATTTTTTATTTTCTGCCTATCATAACTTTAGTTGAAAGGGAAAATCGGTCTAGGGTCCCTCTTCCACTTTTCGTAATGGAAGAGATCCACAAAATTATTTTTTGATGTCTAAGGTCCCTAAACATATATCAGATGAAAGTTTCACTGGCTCATCTCTTTCCACTCACTGAAAGACCTCTCGATCGTCTTCAACACTGGACAATTCGATTTACACAAACTCAATTTGACCGATTCAATGATCGGAAACTCCGAAACCAAACTTCAATTAGAAACCCTAGGTTTGTCCGGGATTCAACACTGCGATTACGGCCTCAGTTGGCTCTGGAGGAGTTGTAAACAGCTCAAGAAACTCCAATTGCGAAGCTGCTATGCAATCGGCGATGAATCATCACTCTCATCGTTCGTCGAATGCTTAATTGGTCTCCAAGAAGTGGAATTGTGGACATGTAGGGCGATAATCAACGAGGTTCCTCTTCCTCCTCCTCTTTTAATCGCCTTCATGGGTTTTGTTAGGACTTTGGGGAGAGAAGCTTTTTGGGGGTGTAGGGGTGTGCATTCAATTGAATGGGTGGAATGTATTCACAAAGATAATTTTGGTATTATTTGGGGGAAGAAAATAAATTTTAAGGGTTTTAAAATCTATAAGTGGGGTCCAAAGAGATGGAAGATCTAAAATAATTGATGGAGTGCTAATAGCAACACTTTTATCATATACCTATAAATATACATACAAGCACACACACATTTTTTTTTTGATCGGCAAAAAAAGGAAACTTTATTGATGAAAATAACAAGTACAAGGTACAAGATAAAAAATATCAATAAAGGAAAGGGAAGTGCAAAAGCATCACAGTGAGCTAAACGATCCCAACTAGGTTGGCACCGCAGAGCACACCCTATCATTTGCTAGCACCCCAAAGTTGGTGAGAGACCAACGGAAGAAAGAAAAAAACAAAACCAACCAACCAAAGCTATCACCTAAGCATATCTGCCAAGCACTGCAGCAGAAGGAGAGCTACTAGTAAATCAACACCCCAAAGTTGATCATACAGCACCAACCATCCAGAACTACAATATACACCAGCCCCAAAAACAGAACTCCCACAGCAGCTGGGACAGAACAGGCCAGAACACATATAGCAGCAGCTAGGAGAGGTTGGAGAATCCACCTTTCAGACCACAGCAACTCAGATCACAGCTAGAAGAGGATAGAACACAGAAGCCAGCCACAGACAGCATAGCATAGGGCAGACTCACCCCGAACAGCATAGCATACGGCCAGAGGCAGAACAAATACACTTCAATAAGTAGCACCTCTACAGCCAACACCTTGCCTTGATCACAAGCAGCAGCCACAGCAGTGCATGCCCTCATATCAGCAGAGCATGAACAATGTGACACTAGCAGCAGCCTCATACTTCAGACAGCAGAGCATGATCCTTGCAGCAACAGCCACCACTCAGGTTTGAACTTGAAACAAGCCTCACAGCAGGCCCATGGAGGGGCCTCAGACCATCCCAGCTGCAGAGCATCAATGCCACCCTCCATAATATAGTCCAGATTAGTAGACAGATCAGACCAGACCAGCATCCCATATCAGAGACCTTCACAGACAGATTAGTAGATTATCTGCAGAGACCTTCACAGACAGATCAGCTTCCAGCTACAACCCAGCTTCCACCTTCCACCTTCACACTAGTAACAGCCCAGCCATAATCCTATGTCAGACACCCTCTCACCTGCTTCAAGTTTGTGACAATATCATGTACTGTGTGGTGCACCCCCTTAACATTTGACTTAACCCATAATGCAATTCTTACTTTCAATCTCTCTACCATCTGTGCAAAATCTGCATTACCATTGTTAAATAAACATTCTTTCCTAAGTTTCCATAAGGACCATAACATAGCCAAAGGGACCACTTTTCAAATATTGAACTCCTTCTTCTTTAATTTCATACCAGACCACCAGTCAAGCAAAACAACCACAGATCTTGGCGTTACCCACTGCACTTCCCACCAACTTATCAACTCAGACCATAATTTCCACACCAATGGACATAAAAGCAACACATGATTTATGGTTTCTACCTCTGCTTTGCAAAATACACATAAGGAGCTGACATTGATGGGTAGAGCTCCAATCCTGTGCATAAATTCTACGGTTTTGATTCTCCCTTTCCAAGCTAACCAGCTGAAGAACTGAGCCTTTGGAGGTGCTGCATTTTTCCATAGGAAGTTTGAAATGGGAATCCTGGATCCATTAACTACCTCCAACCTTTCCCACACTGAGGCCACAGTGAATACCCCTGAATTATTAGCTTTCCACAGACAGTTATCCTCAGTCACAAGATTTAGATTAGGAACCTCTGCTAATACTACATTTAGTCTTTGTACTTCCTCCTCCTCCCATGCTAGGAGCGATCTTCTAAATGCCAACTTCCAATCACTGCCCAGTCCTTTTCGTTGGTAGAAAAACTGCAAGGAACCATCCTTCTCCACGGATAAACTAAACAGTCTAGGGAACTCACACCTAAGACTCATATCATTGAACCATCTATCCGTCCAAAAATGAATCCTTTCCCCATTTCCCATAATAATCCTAAAGTTTTGTGAGAAAAACTACGCCACTACACTATTGGATGAAGCTAATGATGCAATATCCTTCCACACAATAGATACCATTGCAGCTGGCACTAGTTCTGGTGTCCACCTACCTCCAATCCCACCATATCTGCTACATACCACCCTTTTCCAAAGAGACTGATGTTGACAACCATACCTCCACCACCATTTTAACATTAGACACACATTAACATCACTGAGACTTCTCAAACCTAACCCCCCTTGGGCTTTACTTTTACACACCTCTTTCCATTGAACTAAGTGAATTTTCCTTTTAATTTCAAAACCTCCCCACAAAAAGTTTGATTGAATCCTATCAATTGTTTTAGCAACACCAACGGGCATTTTAAAGATGGATAGAAAATACAGTGGAAGACTTGACAAAACAGACTTAACTAGGGTCAATCTGCCGGCAAAGGACAAAAATCTCATTTTCCAAGATGCTAACTTCTTTTTAAACTTCTCCACCACCGGTTGCCAAGTACTTCTTCTCCTTGGATTGGCCCCTAAAGGTAAACCAAGATATGACAAAGGTAGACTCTGGTTGAGGCAATTTAGTGTTTTAGCAAACTCCTTAACTAGCTCCTCTTCTACTCCAATACCACAAACTATACTTTTATGAAAATTAATCTTGAGGCCTGACATGACTTCAAAACACCTCAAGATTCTTTTAAGCATTATAATTTCCTCCCATTTGGCTTCACAAAAAATAATAGTGTCATCTGCAAATTGTAAATGAGAAATTTTCAACTCTTGATGACCAACTGAAGCTCCTCTGATCATCCCCTTTTCTTTGGCTCTTTCTAATAAAATATTTAAACCTTCTGCCACTATATTGAATAGGAAGGGCGATAGTGGATCTCCTTGTCTTAAACCCTTCTGAGGAGAAAACTCTGCTGTGGGCAATCCATTCACAAGCACTGAGATCCTTGATGTAGATATACAGGACCAAATCCAACCCACCCATTTTTCACCAAACCCAAGATTCTTCATTATTGACAGTAAGAACTCCCAGTTAACTGAATCATAGGCCTTCTCAAAATTCAATTTAAGAATGATTCCTTTTTTCTTAGGTCCCCCGCGGCCCTGTTACAGTATGCATATCGTATATATCTCCCGTATATATCTGTGTATATATCCATATATGTATGGGTAAAAAAAAAAAAAATTCAGAAAAATCAATCAAATCAAACAAAAACAAAGAAATCAGTCTACCATTCTTCCTTTCGCAAAAAGACGCATTTAGACTTCACCATTCCTCCTCGCGCGAAAAGATGCGTTTGGACTTCACCATTCCTCTCACAAAAAGATGCGTTTAAACTTCAAAATTAGAATTTCATGTTTATCCAGTCAAAAGATCTTCAATTTCGATTTCAAATATTCCTCCTCTCGCAAAAAGACACGTTTGGACTACACCATTCCTCCTCTCGCAAAAAGACATGTTTGGACTTCACCATTCCTCTTCTTGTGAAAAGATGTGTTTAGACTTCACCATTCCTCCTCTTGCAAAAAACCTGCACATTTAGCGACTAACCTGTTTTTTAGTCGCCAAAACCATCACTTTTGGCTACTAAATTATTTTAGTCGCCAAAAACTGTGACTTTTGGCTACTAAAAAATCTTTTGTCGCTAAAACCCCTATATTCGGCGACTAAACTGCCTTTTAGTCGCTAAAACCCTTATATTTGGCGACTAAACTCTTTTAGTCGGCAAAAGTGATCAATTTTGGCGACTAATTCAATTTTAGTCGCCAATTGGACTACTTTCAACGACGAAAACTGCAATTTTAGTCGCGAAAAGTGATTTTTGTTGTAGTGGTTATATAGAATTTTCAAAATATAATAAAATCATTGTCTAGAATGTATCACTATTTTAAGTTGTTTTTTTTTTTTTTGATCGGCAAAAAAAGGAAACTTTATTGATGAAAATAACAAGTACAAGGTACAAGATAAAAAATATCAATAAAGGAAAGGGAAGTGCAAAAGCATCACAGTGAGCTAAACGATCCCAACTAGGTTGGCACCGCAGAGCACACCCTATCATTTGCTAGCACCCCAAAGTTGGTGAGAGATCAAGGGGAAAGAGAAGAAAGAAGAACCAACCAACCACAGCTATCACCTAAGCACATCTGCCAAGCACTGCAGCAGATGGAGAACTACTACTAGACCAACACCTCAAAGTTGGTCATACAGCAGCAAAGTATCCAGAGCTAAAAATGTACAGCAGCAAAGCATATAGTAGCAGGGACAGACCATATATAAAATGTACGCCAGCACCAACCATCCAGAACTAAAATATACACCAGCCCCAAAAACAGAACTCCCACAGCAGCTGGGACAGAACAGGCCAGAACACATATAGCAGCAGCTGGGAGAGGTTGGAGAATCCACCTTTCAGACCACAGCAACTCAGATCACAGCTAGAAGAGGATAGAACACAGAGAGGAAGTTGCAGCCAGCCACAGACAGCATAGCATAGGGCAGACTCACCCCGAACAGCATAGCATACGGCCAGAGGCAGAACAAATACACTTCAATAAGTAGCACCTCTACAGCCAACACCTTGCCTTGATCACAAGCAGCAGCCACAGCAGTGCATGTCCTCATATCAGCAGAGCATGAACAATGTAACACTAGCAGTAGCCTCATACTTCAGACAGTAGAGCATGATCCTTGCAGCAACAGCCACCACTCAGGTTTGAACTTGAAACAAGCCTCACAGCAGGCCCATGGAGGGGCCTCAGACCATCCCAGCTGCAGAGCATCAATGCCACCCTCCATTATATAGTCTAGATTAGTAGACAGATCAGACCAAACCAGCATCCCATATCAGAGACCTTCACAGACAGATTAGTAGATTATCTGCAGAGACCTTCACAGACAGATCAGCTTCCAGCTACAACCCAGCTTCCACCTTCCACCTTCACACTAGTAACAGCCCAGCCATAATCCTATGTCAGACACCCTCTCACCTGCTTCAAGTTTGTGACAATATCATGTACTGTGCAGTGCACCCCCTTAACATTTGACTTAACCCATAATGCAATTCTTACTTTCAATCTCTCTACTATCTGTGCAAAATCTGCATTACCATTGTTAAATAAACATTCTTTCCTAAGTTTCCATAAGGACCATAACATAGCCAAAGGGACCACTTTCCAAATATTGAACTCCTTCTTCTTTAATTTCATACCAGACCACCAGTCAAGCAAAACAACCACAGATCTTGGCGTTACCCACTGCACTTCCCACCAACTTATCAACTCAGACCATAATTTCCACACCAATGGACATAAAAGCAACACATGATTTATGGTTTCTACCTCTGCTTTGCAAAATACACATAAGGAGCTGACATTGATGGGTAGAGCTCCAATCCTGTGCATAAATTCTACGGTTTTGATTCTCCCTTTCCAAGCTAACCAGCTGAAGAACTGAGCCTTTGGAGGTGCTGCATTTTTCCATAGAAAGTTTGAAATGGGAATCTTGGATCCATTAACTACCTCCAACCTTTCCCACACTGAGGCCACAGTGAATACCCCTGAATTATTAGTTTTCCACAGACAGTTATCCTCAGTCACAGGATTTAGATTAGGAACCTCTGCTAATACTGCATTTAGTCTTTGTACTTCCTCCTCCTCCCATGCTAGGAGCGATCTTCTAAATGCCAACTTCCAATCACTGCCCAACCCTTTCCGTTGGTAGAAAAACTGCAAGGAACCATCATTCTTCACGGATAAACTAAACAGTCTAGGGAACTCAGACCTAAGACTCATATCATTGAACCATCTATCCGTCCAAAAATGAATCCTTTCCCCATTTCCCATAATAATCCTAAAGTTTTGTGAGAAAAACTCCGCCACTACACTATTGGATGAAGCTAATGATGCAATATCCTTCCACACAATAGATACCATTGCAGCTGGCACTGGTTCTGGTGTCCACCTACCTCCAATCCCACCATATCTGCTACATACCACCCTTTTCCAAAGAGACTGATGTTGACAACCATACCTCTACCACCATTTTAACATTAAACACACATTAACATCACTGAGACTTCTCAAACCCAACCCCCCTTGGGCTTTACTTTTACACACCTCTTTCCATTGAACTAAGTAAATTTTCCTTTTAATTTCAGAACCTCCCCACAAAAAGTTTGATTGAATCCTATCAATTGTTTTAGCAACACCAACGGGCATTTTAAAGATGGATAGAAAATACAGTGGAAGACTTGACAAAACAGACTTAACTAGGGTCAATTTGCCGGCAAATGACAAAAATCTCCTTTTCCAAGATGCTAACTTCTTTTTAAACTTCTCCACCACCGGTTGCCAAGTACTTCTTCTCCTTGGATTGGCCCCTAAAGGTAAACCAAGATATGCCAGAGGTAGACTCTGGTTGAGGCAATTTAGTGTTTTAGCAAACTCCTTAACTAGCTCCTCTTCTACTCCAATACCACAAACTATACTTTTATGAAAATTAATCTTGAGGCCTGACATGACTTCAAAACACCTCAAGATTCTTTTAAGCATTATAATTTCCTCCCATTTGGCTTCACAAAAAATAATAGTGTCATCTGCAAATTGTAAATGAGAAATTTTCAACTCTTGATGACCAACTGAAGCTCCTCTGATCATCCCCTTTTCTTTGGCTCTTTCTAATAAAATATTTAAACCTTCTGCCACTATATTGAATAGGAAGGGCGATAGTGGATCTCCTTGTCTTAAACCCTTCTGAGGAGAAAACTCTGCTGTGGGCGATCCATTCACAAGCACTGAGATCCTTGATGTAGATATACAGGACCAAATCCAACCCACCCATTTTTCACCAAACCCAAGATTCTTCATCATTGACAGTAAAAACTCCCAGTTAACTGAATCATAGGCCTTCTCAAAATCCAATTTAAGAATGATTTCTTTTTTCTTAGACTTTCTCCACCAATCCACCACTTCGTTTGCAATTAAAACCCCGTCCAGGATGCATCTACCAGAAATAAAAGCATATTGAACTTCTCCTATGAGCTTTGGGAGTACTTTCCTTACCCTTCTAGACAACACTTTAGCCAACACTTTATAAATTGCGCTAACCAAGCTTATGGGCCTATATTCACTCAAATCTATTGGGTTCTTCTTTTTAGGGATCAAAGTGATGAAAGAGCTGTTTACCCCTTTGGCCAACTTCCCATTACGATGAAGCTCTTGGAACAACTGAATGAACTCACCTTTCATTAAAGACCAGCACTTCTGAATACAATACAAATTGAAGCCATCAGGCCCAGGGGCTTTATTCCCATCACAGTCTTGGATGGCTGCCCAAATTTCTGCTTCAGTAAACTCTGCCTCCAACACTTCCTTTGAGTCAACAGAACTAATGGACGACAAAGGCCCTGCCAACTTAGGCCTGCTCTTCCAGCTTTCAGCAAAAACTCTTTTAAAGTAGTTCACCACTACTTGCTTCACCATACTTGGATCCTCCACCATAACCCCATCTGCCTGCACTGAATCCAATAAATTTTTCCTCTGCCTGTTACTTGCCATCAAGTGAAATAGTCTGGTATTTTTATCACCATTTTGTGCCCATGACATTCTAGACTTTTGTAGCCACAACCTGTCTTTATTTCTACTTAGATTCCAAACTTGACTTCTGATCTCCCGTCTTCTAATCACCTCTGATTCCAATAAGGATCCAGATTCAGCCTTCAAGTCCCACTCATGGAGTTCATCTTCTGCTTTTTGAAGTTGGTCATCAATATTACCAAAGACCTCCATGTTCCACCTACGCAGATATGCTCTTAGTCTTTTAAACTTAGACATGAGTCTATAACTAGTTCAACCCTGAATCTGAGCCTCCTCCCAGACCTTTTCCACATCCTTTTTAAACTGAGGATGGGATGTCCAGGCATTAATAAATCGAAAAGGTTTAGGCCCCCAATCCTTCCCATCCTCCATAAGCAGAACTGGACAGTGATCTGAAATTCCCCTAGCCAAACCCCATTGTTTAAATTTATACTTCTCTAACCAGACAGGATCAAGTAAAAACCTATCGATCCTACTTCACCTCTCCCCATCCAATGCATTACACCATGTGAATGATCTTCCATGCATATTCAGATCAATTAATTCCAAGCTATCAATAAGATTATTAAAATCTTTCATTCCCCTATCTCTTCTTGAACAGCCCTTCCTTTCACTCATAACTCTAATCTCATTAAAATCACCACCCAGACACCAAGGGTTGGGATAAGAGAGCTTAAGATTTATAAGACTCTCCCATAGTTTCCTCCTCTTCACTACATCAGTCGGAGCATAAATATTGCAGATGACACAATGAAAAGATTGAGATAAGATACCTGAAAGAAGAATGAAATTCCTGGAATTGCAGCAGTCTATCAACTGGAAAATCTAAGGGTTCCAAATGCAAAGGAGACCACCTGCACTTCCCTCTGCACATACCTCCATAAAATCCATTTCATCCATTGGCCATAGGGACTTTACAAAATTACCATCAACAGCTTCTCTCTTAGTCTCCTGCAGCATCAAAACATCTACTAATTTTGCCCTCGCCAATGCCTTAATTCTACTCCTTTTTTCAGGTCGTCTAAGACCCCTGACGTTCCATGACATGAGTTTCATTAAAACCTCTTACCAATCCCTTAGCAAGGAATTTAACAAAGAAATTTGTATATTATTTCAATTGTTAGTCTACCATACAGATTTCACCATTCTAAAAAAAAAAATCTTTCATACAGATTACTCTCAGCTTTCTAAAAGCTCTAATTATCCTCAATCATAGCTCGGGCTTCTTTAAGTAACTTGCTTCTTCTTTGAGAATTACTCCTCTGTGATGCTGATAGGGACATAGCAGCTGCTGCCGCTCGAAGGATCACTCCACTTCTGAGACTGCTACTACATAGAATCCCCTTCTGTTTTGGATGGCCCCCCTGCTCCATTTTTTCTTTACTCTGGTCGACTCCTTTCCTCTTCAGATCAGACTTCCTTTTTGATCCAGCATTAACTTTCTGAGATGGGCCCCCCTTCACATGGTTGTCTTTGTATGCTGCATCGTCCCCTCTAGCCTTATATTGATTCTGGGCTATACAATCACTCAAATTGGAATCAACTTCCCATCTTGGCCCATTAGTTATGGGCTGAACTTGGGCTCCATGTAGCACAACTTCTAAATTTATTTTGGGCCGACTACACTCCAACCCAGTTTGACTATTTATAAAACCTGAAGTGCACACCTGATCTTCTACCCGTTGACTTTCCAGCACCCTCGAGCAGCTCGCCTACAACTCCCTTTCGTTCCCTAGAGCACGCTCAGCTTCTTTTCCTGCTACTCCAGACATGAAATGATGGCCTTCATCTACTGCCTCGAGTACTCTTTCCACGGTGTGAGCTCCCTTAATTGACACCTCATCAATTTTTGCCACATCCTCATCATCACTTTTCTCTACAACCGACCCAACTTCACCTTCCTCCCCACCTTCAACACCATTGACAGCTACCTCTGGATGAACATTATCAACCTGGCCCTTTCGTTTGGTTAAGTGTTCAACGTCATTGTGCAGATTGGATTCCATTACTTCATTTATCTGGCAGCTATACTCACCATTACATTGACAGATATTGACAAAGGGCTCTTCATACACTCTCACTTGATAAGCCCTCTCAGTTCCTAGTAAATTAATTACCGTATTGATGGGCTCCATGATTTTTGTGATGATCCTTACTTTGCCAAACATAAAATGTTTACCTCCCACTGTATCTTCATCGTACTGAACTACATCTCCCCATACCTTGCCAGTCGCTTCGAAGGTCTTGATATTCCAGAGATTGAGAGGTACTCCCACACAAGTGAGCCAGATACATCTATCCAGTTCCATTAACTTCCCTTCTTCCCATTCACATACTTCATCACTCCAGTCATGAATCCACTCCTTCATTCTCACTCGTGCTTCCTTCTTCTGCTGATTGGAGCTAAAAGATAGAATTGCCTGCTTCCCTCCCACTTGTCTAACTACCACATCCTTATCAATCCTCTTGTAGATCTCCTTCCTGAAGTCATGGAAGGAGAAAAAAGCTTTGAGCTTGACCAGGACACTATCATATAACCACCCGTTCCCAACCTCCACAGCTCTAACAGACACATTTTGATTGCCATATTCTCCTCCATTTTGTCGTCCAATTTGAACTACTTCCGCATATGACTTACCTTTGATTCGCATCATAGGTTGGACAGGGGTCCACTGCTTTTTCTGCACCATACCTCCCTGCTTAGCATTTGTGAGCATCTGTCTACTTTGATTGGACTTGCTAAACTCAGCCAACTTTACCCCCAATGCCCTGTTGTGACACCATAAGCCATCAGCTTTGTGCACTGCCATCACTGCCATTCTATTTTATTAGCTATACTATTGCTTTTCTTTTCATCTATTTTTTATTGTGAGGATTGAAGATTTATCAGGCGGTGCGAAAATGCTCTTGTGTTTTTTAACTAATTGTGTTTTCTCATCTATTTTCTTATTGCGGGTGTTGAAGATTTATCACACGGTGAGAAAAAATATATTATTGTATTTTTTTAATTGTTTGCATTTTTTACACTCCATTTCGATTATATGGTGAGAAAAAAAATTTATGATTCAGTTTTTTTTAAATTACTGTGTTTTCTCATCTATTTTCATATTGTGGGTGTTGAAGATTTATCATGATGAGAAAAAAATATGATTATATTTTTTAACTGATTGTGTTTTTTTTTCACTTTTTTCAATAATACGATGATTGTGTTTTTTTACACTTTATTTTGATCACATAGTGGGAAAAAAATTGTCGTGGAGTTTTTTAACTCACTATATTTTTTGAAAAAAAAAAAACTGAAATGATTGTATTTTTTGACTATCATATTTAGATGAATGACCAAAGATCATTGAATTAGAAAAACAAATATATATATATACATATATTATAACTAAAATCCCTTACCAATCCCTTAGCAAGGAATTTAACAAAGAAATTTGTATATTATTTCAATTGTTAGTCTACCATACAGATTTCACCATTCTAAAAAAAAAAATCTTTCATACAGATTACTCTCAGCTTTCTAAAAGCTCTAATTATCACCGTAACTCTAATACATATTACTATCTATCTATATATTACATAAATAAAATGAGATTACTAATTCATAAGACTTTCAAGAACTACAATATCTCAATCTTAATTTCATAATTTTTGAATTAAAAAAAAACTCCAGCCCACCCTTCGATTTTAGATTTTTAAAATTTTAAAAAACCCTAAACCCTAACTTTCGTAAAACAGTCATACATGTAGGTAACTATGAATTCACTTGATTGCTTTTCTTTTCATTGATTCTTTTAATGCTTGTTTTCCTTTTCATTACTTTTTTCTATCATAATCAATGAATGAACTATACTATTGATTTTTTTTATCATCTATTTTTTTGTTGTGAGTATTGAAAATTTATTAGACAATGTGAAAAAAAAATGTTATTGTATTTTTTTAATTGACTATGTTTTCTCATTTATTTTCTAAACTATACTATTGCTTTTCTTCTCATCTATTTTTTTTATTGTGAGTCAAGATTTATCAAACGGTGTGAAAAAAAAATATTCTTGTGTTTTTTAATTGATTGTGCTCTTTCATCTATTTTCTTATTGTGGGCGTTGAAGATTTACACACGGTGAGAAAAAAAAAATATTATTGTACTTTTTTACATTTCGTTTGATCACATGGTGAGGGAAAAAAAAAATTGTGATTCATTTTTTTAACATATTGTGTTTTCTTCCTCTATTTTCTTATTGTGGTTGTTGAAAATTTATCACATAGGGAGAAAAAAAAAATTGATTGTATTTTTTAACTGATTTTGTTTTTTTACACTATTTTAATAATACGGTGATTGTGTTTTTTTATACTCCGTTTTGATCACATGGTGAAAAAAAATTGTGATTGAGTTTTTTTAATTCGCTATATTTTTTGAAAAGAAAAATAAAAATCATTGTATTTTTAAACTATCATATTTAAATGACGATCATTGAATTAGACAAAAAATTTATAACTAAAATCCCTTACCAATCCCTTAGCAAGGAATTTAACAAAGAAATTTGTATATTATTTCAATTGTTAGTCTACCATACAGATTTCACCATTCTAAAAAAAATCTATCATATAAATTACTCTCAGCCTTTCTAAAGGCTTTAATTATCACCATAACTCCAATACAGATTACTATCCTTTTTCTTTTCCCTTAACTCTGATCACAGGTATTAGACAAACAAACAATGTATTTGATTAGAGGATTTGAGAAGAGATTTGAAAAGGAAAAGAAAAAAAATATGTGAAATGTAAATAATATATACTTACATTTCATATAGTTTCGGCCATAGTCCTTGGGTGTGTTTCTGCTATAGTCCTTGGTCAAGGGAGTTTTCCGGCCATGGTTCTTTCAGCCATGAGAGGTGTGATGGTGGTTCTCGGCCAGTTCAACCAAACTGCATGGTGGAAGTGTTTCTTACATGTGCGTCATAATTTTTGATGCTACAGATCAACGTACTTCAGGCGTGGGGGTATTGTCTTTGGCTTGTATGGGTTATTGAAACGATAAGTGTTATAGCTTTTGGTGGAATAGAAGAGTGTGGGTTGGTGAAAAGAATCGTGATTTGGGTTGAAAAGTAGAGTGTGGTTTGTTGAAAAGAGAAGTGCAGCAGAATGGGTGTTGAAAAGAAGATTTTGGTTTATTGAAAATATGAGTGCAGGAGCAGCATGGGTGTTTTTGTTTTGGTGTTTTTGTTTTGGGTTGTGTGGGTTGCTTTTGTGGGGATTCATGTATTTTCTTTTAGTTAAGTCCTTCTTTATTTTTTTTATCTTTTTAGTTTGCTTTTTATTTTGTTTAAAAAAAATAATTGTGAGGCCAATGAGTTGGTTGTATGGATGTGAGCAGCAGTAATAGGGGTAACTTGTATTTTTCTTAATCTCTCTTGATGCATGTCATCTCTCTATACCTTTAATTTCATACTATTAATGAAAAATTGAAATTTTTCTTTGTTGATTAAAAAAAAACAAAAAAAACATTTCATATAGTTTGACACATATTTTTCCTTTTATTTTCCAAATCTCTTCCAAGTCCACCAACCAAGCCTAGCGTTAAAAAGCTAACGCTAGATTGTAGAGCATCTGTTTTATATCTATATATGAGAGGCACTTAGCTACTTGACATTCGTATTTTCTTTTCGATTTTGTCCTTACATTTTGAATAATTTATTAACGATGACCTATATGTTGAGTGAACGTTTTTTCGTAAATACACAAAGACTCTTGGTCAATTATGCAACATATTTTTTTCGTAATTACGCAAATATTCTTAGTCAATTATGAAATAGGTTTTTCCGTAATTACGCAAACATTCTTGGTCAATTATGAAAAATAAATCTTTTATTTTTTTAACAAATTACAAATATACCCATAAGGTTGGTTTAAAATATGAATCAATCCTATAATATTAGAAATTACAACTATCATTTGTTATAAATTTAATTTAACACAATACTGAGGGAAAATAAAATTCTCCCATGTAATAATAAATTATTAAAATTTTTTATTGAAAAATATTTCTCATATCATTAAAAATTGTTAATTAACTTAATGATTTATTTATTAATAAAATAGTTAACTGAAAAACATTTTTCATATCATTAAAAATTGCTAATTTACTTAACGATTTACTTATTAATAAAATTAGTCATTTATTATGTGAGTATGATATATATATATATATTAATAAAATTAGCCATTTATATATATATATATATATATGTGTATTTTCTTCTGCTTTTTTATTAGTTCAGTGAATTATCATAATAATTTTTTTTAGATGAGAAAATTATCTTAGTATCTGTTTTATATTGATCTATTGAGAAAAGTTACACACCATAATTTTTTATTTATTTATAAATTGAGAAGAAATATTAAAGACTCATAAATTTACCCAAAATGATATGGTAATAGAATTGGAGTCTACATCATCGAATGTATAACAAAAAAAATTATACATATCATACCACATAATTCTACCATATATCTAATGATTTTTTCTATTCAATTTCATAGAATAATATTTTAAGTTTTAAAAATTATCAAAATATAAAACTTAAATATACTGTAATAGTAGCCCGTGCCTTGCATGGGTCTTTCGAAACTAGTATATATATCTATATATATAAGAGGCGCTTAGCTGCTTGAGGTTTGTCTTCTTTTCCAATTTTACTTTTTTTTTTGAATAATTTATTAATAGTGACCTATATGTTGAGTGAAGATTTTTTCGTAATTACGCAAACAATCATGGTCAATTATGAAACATAAATGTTTTATTTTTTAACAGATTACAAATACACTCATAAAATTTGTTTAAAATATGAATCGGTCCTATAATACTAGAAATTACAACTATTGTTTGTTATAAATTTTAATTTAACACAATAAGCAGAAGAAAAAAATAACTATTCTTCTATGCAATAATAAATTATCAAAATTGTTTATTGAAAAATATTTCTTATATCATTAAAAATTGTTAATTTTTTTAATGCTTTATTTATTAACAAAATGATTAACTGAAAAATATTTTTCATATCATTAAAAATTGTTAATTTACTTAATGATTTATTTATTAATAAAATTAATTATTTGTCACGCGAGTTTGATTTATGTATTAATAAAATTGGTTATTTGTATATATATATGTATTTTCTTCTGTTTCTTTATTAGTTTAGTGAATTGTCTTTGTAGTTTTTTTAGATGAGAGAATTATCTTAATATTTATTTTATATTTATCTGTTGATAGAAAAGCTAATAGCACATTATATTCGTAATACATAAATTAGCAACAAAAAATTAGCACATTATATTCATAGTACATAAATAAGAAGTTGTTAATGTGCTTTGTGTACATGATATTGTTGTCTAACTCAGCTTTGAGCAATTTATAACTCAGCTTTGTTGAACGAATAAATTAGTAGTTTGTTGATTTGTTACTCAAATATAATGTGCTTTGTCACAATTGTATTTGTTTTAAAAGTGTAAGTGATTTTATAAATATTCTTTTTTAAAATCAACAGTTTGTTTCGAATAAATTGTAATTTATATGTTCCAAACAAGGTGTGAAAGCATAGATTCAAATAAGATAATATATGCTTTGGAAAGTAATAATAAAAATAAAAATAAAAATAATCTCGGCATTGGGTTCTTATTTGCGTAATGCGTAAGTGGAATGCATTGGATTAGCTTTTAAAGGAATCAAAATGACAAACATGGGATATTCTTTCACTTTTTCTTGAGCGATACTTTCCAATGTGTAACACATAAATAGGTAATCGCTCTCCTCGGTTTTGTTTTTAAAATCTGTTTTTTTTTTTTTTTCAAATAAGTTAAAAAATGAAAAGAAATCACTATTTTTATATATTTTTTTTCTTTGGGTCAAAAATATTTTCTTAAAATTTAATTTATATTTATTTTTTTGTGTTTGTTTTAAATAGAATACTCTCTGAATACTACGTTTTCATACTCCTTAACCAATCATCATTTATCATATTGTTCATATTTCTCAATCACTCAATATAATATCCCGCTTATCCATCATCTCTATCAATCACAATACTAAAAAGTACTAAAAAATATCATATGTCCGTATTTTGGATTACTTAACTCTACTAAAATAAATAAATAAATAAATAAAAATAAAAGCAACACCACCATTCATGGGACAAGCGGTGCAAATTCGACCATGAATGGATTTGTGTGAACTTTCTAGCTATCAACATCTAATAAGTGTAGAGTTCCAGAAAAAAAATATATCTAATAAGTATGTACAAACAAACAAACAAAAAATACAGAATTTTTATACGGAAGTAACATAACATGTAAACATATAATGTCCATTATTGTAATTAGAATTATAAATGGGTTAATTACACTTTCACCTCTATAGTTCGACTCAATTTTTATTTTAGTCTTATTGTTTTAATTTGATCTTTAAGTTTAAGTTTTATTATAATTTGGTCCTAAGATCTAAATTTTTGTTAATTTTATCTACGTATACACATTAGAAAATTGTCAAGTTTCCTAAAATTGTTAATTTTAATATCCAATTTAGACGAAATGACCAAATTAAAACTACACTTAAATTGTAGGGATCAAACTATTCAATTTAAAATTAACTAAAATGAAATTTGAATCAAACTATAAGGGTGAAAAGTGTAAAACCCTTTATAAATATATCATTGTTATATCATTTTTGTAACAAATTCTATTTAAAAAGTCTAATAATTTAGCATTTTTCCTATTTTAACTGCACACCTAATTCATGGTTTTTTTTAGAATTGACTATTTTAATTAATTTTTTGACTTTTTAAAAAAAGACATGCAAAAAAAATAAAAAGAAAAGTTAAGTTTTTTGTAATGACTGCTTGTGACGGCTCAGGTCTATACTCGACCCATTTGGCCTTCCAGTATACTTGCACGCGAACCGTATCGTCTTATGTTAATCTAATTGTCATTGTTGTTGCTATTTTAATTCTCACACTTGTGTTTTGAGTTGTTGATTTTTGAGAGAGTAAATTGAAGAGTTTTGATAGAAATTTTGGGTTGGAAATCGATCGCATTTGGGTAGCGATTGATCGCTCTTCTTTTTTTTTTTTTTTTTGGGCAAACTTATGCATTGTGTAAAGATCGAAAAGGGATTGATCTCATTGGGTTGATTGATCGCTCTTGGTGCTGCGATCGATTGCTCTACTCATTTATTTTGAGAGAATTTTCAACAATGTGTAGTGACTGATAGGGAATCGATTCATTTATAGGCAATCAATCGCTTCCTTAAGTGCAATCGATCGCCTTGTCAAAAGAAACTTAAATAAGCTTTTCTCTTCTTTTCCTCTCTTTCCTCTCTTCTCTCTCTCTCTCTGTTCTATTTCGGAAAACCAAAACACTCTTCTCTAAAACTCTTACATTTATCACACAAAATTGTTGGAAATAATGATTTTATAGGCTTATTTTGGGCTAATTTTGAGTCCAAATTTGAGTGGGGTCCACACATCTTTTGAACTAAGTCCAAAGAGGTGACATGTTCCTTATCGCATGGCAAGTCACACAGTGAAGACGATTCGTCAAACCATATATGAGTGAATGGGAACTTGATATCGTTTTCGGATTCGTGGAATAAACATTTCAAGAAGTAAAATGTGGGTTTCCTTGAAATGGATTGTCCCACATTGAAACTTTAAGAGAGCTTGTGTATGTATATAAGCTCTAGGTGGCAACACTGGGTTGGGCCCCAAGAGGCACCCCAAGTTTGTAGAAGGAAGGAGTTATGGACAAAGTGAACCTAATTCTTATATTAATTTTATGGATAAAATTTATTTGAATTTTTTTCAAAATTCTTGCAGAAAAAATTAATTTAAATTTTGCTTCAATTTTTTCTGTCCAAATAGTACCCAGTTTCAATCCATTTACCAGTAGGTTCTGTTACCCAAAAGACAACCTAAAAGGGGGGTGAATTAGGTTTTTATAATTAAAATTAATAATATAGTAATAAAAATTATGACTAGCACAATAGATAAATATAATTAATGAAATAAAAATAATTAAAACAAGTGTCTTAACAATTATGTTAGTTAATGATTTTAGTAAAAATGTGAAATATAGTTATGGCAATTTAAAATAAAATAAAGAGATAAGGGAGAGAGAAACAAACAAATTTATAGTGGTTCGGTTTCAACTCGGCCAATGTCCACTC